AAAAAATGGTTTCTCCATCAACAACATCTCCATGCCCGCGGGTCGAAACCTTGGCCCGCAGCGGAATCGACACCATCCCGAAGGAATACGTCCGGCCCGAAGACGAGCTCAGAAGCATAGTCGACGTGTTCGCCGAGGAAAAGAGCTTCCGCGGGCCTCAAGTCCCGACCGTCGACCTCGCCGGCATCGACTCGGAGGACGACGAGGCTCGGAGGAAATGCCACGAGGAGTTGAAGAGGGCCGCGGCCGAGTGGGGGGTGATGCACCTCGTCAACCACGGCGTGCCCGAGGAGCTCACGGGTCGTGTCAAGAACGCGGGCCAGGAATTCTTCGACCTGCCCGTGGAGGAGAAGGAGAGGTACGCCAACGATCAGGCGAGCGGGAACGTGCAGGGCTACGGGAGCAAGCTGGCGAACAACGCCAGCGGGCGGCTGGAGTGGGAGGACTACTTTTTCCACTGTGTTTACCCTGAGGAGAAAAGGGATCTCTCCATTTGGCCTAAGAATCCACATGATTATATGTGAGTTTGTCTTCTTGTAACCCTAAGAGTTTCTTGAGCTTAATTATGTTACAATTTCTATGTGTCTTAATTCATGTTGGCTTTATAATATGTGTCACTTTACGGTGCTTCTCGCTATGTGTGGAGTTCTGTTTGTTTCGTAATCTTATTTGTCGAGTTTTGATTGGTTGTTTTACTGTACGTGTTTCGGAAGCTTATGTGTCAATTTATCGTAATACTATGGGTTGAATTCTGATTATGTGTAAATTTCTTGTACGTGCTTCTAAATAGTCCAAGTAAATTGAACTTCTCTAATAGTGATTTTAAAATTATACAACACTTGGCTAATTTGAATTATAAATATATTTTATATTTAATGAATTTTATCTTTGTTCTCAACTTTCATACATTTAATTTATATTACATATATATAAAGTAAATGAATAAATAATTTAATTATTGTTATTATAAAAATTAGACATTCTATTGCACAAGTGAAGAGTGTCATTTTAAAATATCTAAAAAGCCATCAAAGAACTAGAAAAAAGTATTATAATATAAGACATATAATTGTACATGTGACATTTAAAATATAAATAATTAATAATACAACTTTTGCTAAACTTATTTTAAATTTAAATAAAAAGATATCTTTCTCAGTTTCTTTTTTTTTTTTTCTTTTTTTTTTTTTTTTTGTAAGTGTACATTTAACTAACACCCGTGTAATCCAGGCCGGCCACGAGCGAGTACGCAAAGCAACTGCGAAACCTAACCACCAAAATACTAGCCGTCCTGTCGTCTGGGCTCGGTCTGGACGAGGAGAGGCTCGAAAAAGAAGTTGGTGGAAAAGACGAGCTCGTCCTCCAGATGAAAATAAACTACTACCCAAAATGTCCCCAACCGGAGCTCGCCCTCGGTGTCGAGGCCCACACCGACGTGAGCGCGCTCACCTTCATCCTCCACAACATGGTCCCCGGCCTGCAGCTCTTCTACGAGGGCAATTGGGTCACCGCGAAATGCGTCCCGAACTCAATCATCATGCACGTCGGGGACACGATCGAGATCCTGAGCAACGGCAAGTACAAGAGCATTTTGCACCGGGGGCTCGTGAATCGGGAGAAGGTGAGGATTTCGTGGGCGGTGTTTTGCGAGCCGCCCAAGGAGAAAATCGTGCTTAGGCCGCTGCCCGAGACGGTCTCGGAGGCCAATCCGCCGCTTTACCCGCCGCGGACTTTTGCGCAGCATATAATGCATAAGCTGTTTAGGAAAGATGAGGATCAATGTGGTGTTGATGAGAAAGCAAGTGATCTCAAGTCTATTAGTTGATTAATGTTGCTCTTTCATTTTCTTGGCTGTTGGAACTATGAGCTTGACGTTTTGATTGATTATAGAATGTGTTTTGTGTGCGGTCCTTGATAGTGGCAAGAGCACATATCCTTATTTATGTTTTATGTACTACATAGCACATAGTTTGATCAATAAAGGGAACACTAGCTACTTATATAT